CGATCTCCAACGTGCAGAATATTGACGCCGGGAGCGTACCCCGGCCCGATTGTCATGATCTTGGGCCGCACTTCCACCAACGGAGACGCTCCTTGCACCTGTAATGTCTGGGTATATTGCACTCATTGTCCTTTATTTTCATATTTGAACAGTACTTGATAAAATGCTTATTACGTAAGAGTCTGTAGCAGCTAATGCGGTTTATTGAATTGTGCAAAACTACGACCACACATAACTGATTCATAGATCGTGAGGGACTAAGCTGTATAGGCTACTTTTTAACTTAATATTTACTATTTTAATGAAACCAAGCAGATACTTGCGCTGCCTATATTGTAAATACTAACATTTTTGACTTGGTGAATGATGAATGCGGGTGGCTCATCGCGCAGATCGTACGTGTGGTCGTCGGGCGGACGCGGCGCTGGCTCCGTCTCCGGCTCGTTGTCGGACGGGCTGTCGTACTGGCATTGCACGTTGGCTATCGCGAACTCTGCAGGCACGTGACAAATTCTATTCCTATCTAATCTCTTTAGCTGTCAAAAGCCAGATAATCGATTTTAATTTTTTTTAATCCAAAAAAAAGTGTAAGTACGCAATCCAGAACTGTTGGTCAATGTCACTATTAAGAGAAAAGGAGGAGATTGTCTTCAACTAAAACCTTCAGTACCCGGATACATATACAGGGTGATTCTTAACGGATGAATTAAAAGATTTCTGAAGGTAAAAGAGGTTAAGTAATATAGACACAAGTTAAAATATCTTTTACGTTATAAATAAAAGGCTATATTCACGACAAAACATTTTATTACCATCAAATACAATCACCCGTACTTATATTTATAAATACTAGACAGTAACTTTGCCCTTAATCTAAAGTATGACCAGTTTCAATGAAAATAAAAGTACTCAATTTCAACCAGATTACCGCTTAAATAAATTATTTTAAATGGCAACTCTAAAATGGTTCGATGTATAAAAGAGACCCTCAATCAAAAAAGATACAGAAGGCCAAATAAATAGTATTCTTTTGTTTCTTATTTTTCTACCGTTTTGGTAAGATCTGGGATTTTCTGGCAACACATCAAAATAAAAATAGTCTGTTTAAAAAATCTATCTGCAATACGAACATTATAATACTTTTATTTATAATTTATATTAAAAATTGTCCTTATGACATATATTTACGAAATATAGGAAATTTTTCGATAATTACTTTTTACATATATATTTTACAGTGCGCTTCCACTGCCAAGATTAGGCATGATTATAAACTTAGAAAAAGTTGTGGAAAACATATTTTTCATAAGTTTTTCAACAATGAAAAACCACAGTTAGTAATCTAAAACACGTGTGCTATAAAATAACCTTAAATAATTATAAAATAATTCGAATATTTAAAAAAAAATTGCCTTGATTTTATTGCACTCTATTTGTCATCAATATTAATAATAAATAATATTCTGCCATAAATTATAAAATAATCAACGAAATATAAAAAAAATATAACCCTTTGGATTGAACGCTACTTTGGTTTGTTAGGAACTAATTTAATCATCTAACTTATATTAATTACAATTAAAACAATATATAAAATTGGGACTTACAACGTTTAACACCGTCGAACCTAGGGGTTAGACAAACTGCCTTCGCTCCGAAGCGATTCCATAGCGAACTTCAAAAATGTATGGAATGCGCGACAATCACGTCATCATCATCAGCTCACTATACGTCCCCACCGAGGGGCTCGGAGCCTACCCTAAGTTAAGGGTGATTAGGCCATAGTCAACCACGCTGGCCAAGTGCGGGTTGGTTGACTTCACACATATCTTTGAATTTCTTCTCAGATATGTGCAGGTTGCATCACGATGTTTTCCTTCACCGTAAGAACGTCGGATAAATGTACATATGTAAATCGGAAATCGAAAAACACATTGGTACATGGCGGGATTCGAACTCAGGACCTGCAGATTGCAAGTCAAGTGCTTGACCCCTGAGCCACCGACGCTCTTTTATCACATGACTAATCGAAATTTATTCAGTTCTATACTCTTCGGAGCGAATGAGCTTTGTCTATCCCCGCTGGTCCCATAGGACGACCATAAACAAGAAAACTGAAAGAAACCTCTATAGACGTTAAAAATATCGCAACCCTTTGGGCTCTCGCTTAACTAGGTTCGACCGTATTTTTGATTTTGATTATTAAAGAAAAAAAAAGCTGCATTTATATAAGAGACCGCGGAAAAAATGACTTCTGGCTTTATTATCCTAAATTTAATTATGCGAAGTTTTTGAGCAAAAAGACTACAAAATTAAATAAAAATTACTATCCTAACCTTAAAAATGTTGTGTAAAAAAATGTAGAATTATTTTTCATTTTAAAAATAGATAAATCTTGGTATTCAACTGTTATACACTCTAAGATAGATAAACAAATATATTTAAAAGATTTCTGAACCACCTGGGTTACTGTATTTAGCAAATTTCCAGATAAAAAAAAACAGTGTTAACATTGTAAAAAAATCACAAAATTTTAGTAAATTTACATTTTTGGCAATATTAAGTACAAAGTTCACGAAATCTTAACAATAAATTACTATTATTTATGGATTTTAAACATTAAGTATACATATTTATCAAAGTCAATCGACCAACTAACCTTATTATGATGAAATGCAAGTGACTGCAAACACGACATTTATATTTCTAAATTCCTTAAATAAAATCCATTTAATTATTAGAAAATATACCACATTCTGGCAACTAATAGGTAAAAATATTTCCGATCCCTTTCTTCTTACAAAGTTCCTTCATACCTCTCCGATTTGGTTTCTCTCATAAGATCCAACGGGTCAAGGATTTGAGTTCTAGTTCCACGTCGACCTTTAGAAAATTGACTCTTTATATCATATTTCTCCATCCAATTCCTTAGAGTTTTCCTTGGCACGCCATATTTGTTCGAAGCTGCATAAACACTGTAACCTTTTTTAACCGCTATCAAAGCGTCTCGGAGATGCTGGGATGAGTACTGTTTGTAAGATTTCTCTTGGAATACGTCAGTTTCTATGTTAACGATGGCGTTGGGCCGTCGTCCCACGATGCGGGGCCGCGCGTGTATGTTCAGTGGTATGCCGTGGTCCATATCGATAAAATGTCTCGTCACTATTTCCGTCGATGTCCGCAAACCTGCAACAAGCGAGGAGAAGAAACGGCCCTTTAGCTTTTTTATTTTTAATAGTAACTTTTTTGTTTCGATGATGGCAACACTCGAGCTGTCATTGTGACAGGGCGTTTCTTTTCCTGGCTTCCTACAGGCGGGAAATGGATGAATCGAGGTTTGCGTATTCATGTAAAAAGCGAGGAAAAGCCGCATTTGATTTTAATAGATTAGAAACAAAAATTGTTTTTTCTTTCATAAAATTTTAATGCGCGAATATTTTTGTTTTTTAAAGAATTTGAATATTCGGATTTAAGTAATGGTTACCGGGATAATTTATAAAAAATTATCACTTGGTGGTGAGCAGTGCGCTTCCAAAAATGGGAATCTTAATAACGGTAATAATTAAATACAAAATATTGTATTTTTAACATTGGAAAATCAATTTTCTTAAAAAAAAAGTAGTAGAACAAACTACTTAAGGTTTGGGAAAAAACTGGTTATAAGATTTAGGATAAAAGGTAAAAGGTAACAATAAAAGTATAGTATTTATATCATATATGTTTATTAACTCCCGTAACATAGCAAAAATCGGTACAATCATTAAAATCGACCTAACTCTAAAGGTTCATTTAGACATCATCCGAAATCGTACGAACGTACGGCCGTCGCTTCAGAGTTTACAAACGGGGATGTACGAGAAATACATACGTCTGTCTCTCTCTGAAACAACGGCCTTGCGTTATTCGTACGATTCCGGATTAAATAAACCTTAATAACCATAAACGGGCGGACATGTCAACTGTATGCATTTTTTATAAATTATGTGAATGAAAACAAAACATTGTGAAATAATTTAATACATACAGTTTCATACATTTAATGAAGTCTAAAATTTACCTTTTAAGTCTTAATTTATTTAGATAAAAATATGATAAAATATCTACCGATACAATCGCCACGAATTTTTAAGGCTTATTTCCACATAGAGGTTGGCTGCGCGACTTTGCCGAGCGAAGAGATGCGGTTGCTTTTGCAAGTCGTGTTTTATTTTCTCCGGCATGATCAGTATGCTGTTACTCAATAAGGCTGGAGGTACACGACTAGCCGCTTAGTGGAAATAGGCACTAACATTATTGAACATAACGTCACAAATTCTCGTTTTTGACATGACAATTGCTATGGTGACGATTTAAAAAGAAATTATTTTTATGACGTGTATCTTCAAACTTTCTTAAAAATCGACAGTCAAATTACTTATAATAATAAATAAATTAATGCATAAATTTTATATAATAATGTAAATATAAAATGTGCATATTTACTGACTCGGGGTGTACAGAACAGATGATTTCATCAGTGTCCTTTTAATTTGGAAATAATATGAAACGCAATGTATATAAACATAATACTGCATACAACACTTCTATAATATATATGTATATATCTATATAGCAACTTACATCTATGTATGTATAACTTTATATACTAAGTAGGCACTTCTTGGATTGCGAGCGATTTTGGCATAGACCTGACTATTGTGGCAGAATCCGTGTTTCCACTGTTTTAACTTTTGTTTAAAAACATGTTGTCATCCCATTGTCTTTGGAAAAGCTGAGATATCAATATGTTTTAAAACATGCATTTCGTCAGTGGAATTTCACGTGAAATTCTTGTTAAGGCAACACTTCTTTCTTTAAGGCCATAAGTTAGTCTCAAATTACTACAAAGTATAAATATTTATATCGTAATTTTGCATATTTTACTTCCAATTTATTTTTTATTTATCCGAATATAATTAAAAATGAAAACATATCTAAAATTATAATTTTGGAAGTCAATTGTAATTTTTTTTTGTAACTAAAAATCCAATGCCAATTATTTTTTTTTGTAACTACGTTTGCCGTCATCTTATTACCCTACCGCAGCAGTACTATAGTACACTACCAGTTACGTTAAATTAAATATTTATCATATAAATATATTACAAAATTTATTCAATTGGCAACAATTATCAACGATCTTATATTTTCAGTCTCCAATTGCTCTTCGGTCCCTACGGTACACACTGGCAACACTCCGTCGCGACCACGCGACGAACACGAGTGGACGACGGGTGAACACTGCTTTCTCTTACAAATATGCCACAACGATCAGGTCAAATGCTCGCTCATGAAGATTAAGATAAACCTATGCCTCGAAGGCATGCTATCGCTTTGAAATAATCTTAGGAACAACACACGTAGTTAAAAGCCTATGTAATACAGCGATCGACGGATCTGCTATTATACGTAAAACTTAGAATTAATTCAAATTTCAATATCGAGTTGAATTATTTGGTTTCCACCGATATTCAAATTTTCAATATTACTTGATACCACAGATCTCTATAAATGTATAGGCAATTACTAATAATATTATAAGTTCAAATCCACACCACCGCTACAAACCCTTACTATAAGCGCCAAAATGGCGGAAATCGAATAGGCACAAAATACTACATTATATAGCCAATCCATTTATAAAGGTCAATGGTTGAGACACTCCGATAAGTTCCGACAAGTCCCGACAAGATCCGACGATCGCTCATATCGGCCTAATTAAAGCAAACTTAAAATATACAATTTCTAAAACAACTTTCGATGGAGCTAAGGGGGGATTCAATCAGCTAATTAAGTACGTAAACCTTAAAAACATTAATAAATTATCACTATTTTTAAGCAATTATAAGTATCGAAAAGTTACGATGACAGTCGTTTTTTTTAGCTATTTAAGTCTCCCGTCATTTTTTTTTCTCCATAGATTGTCATCTTTAATATTTATAGCTAAAATTTCATTTTCAAGTCTTTTCTTTATCTTTGGACGTTGTCCTTACGAACATAACCGTGCGTTTACACTGCAGAAATCTTTACAAAAACATATTGTCATGTCATAACAAGAGAAAGAGACAAGAAAGCTACAGTAGGACAAGAGAGAGAGAAAATCGGAGGGGACAGTGGGCTATCATAATTTAGTTTGACATATATCGGGTGGGATAACTTTGTCGGTCATGACAATATGTTTTTGTTATTTTTCGTCAGTGAAAACGTACGACAAGACATATAAAAGGCCAATATTTCAAGCATTCATTATATTTTATATAATATTCTATAATCATTTAACAAATAAAACGGTAGGTAAAAATAAATAAAAATAACATATCCCCTCGAATGTAACATAAAAGCTACCAAATTGGTAATAATTTATTGCACTGGTATTACCAATATTTACTAAGAACCGCTTTTTAAAACAAAAAAAAACATTCGAGGTGTCTTACTATAAACGATAAAAACAAAGTATCTTTGGATGTAATATTGCAAGATAAAATAGGAAATCTAAAATAAATAAAGAATTTTTGTTAAAATAATTACTATTTTTGTATTAAAATCTTTAGTAATTAACCTTCTTAGTATATTTACTAAAATTAGATAGAATAATAAGACGGTAAGGTAAGTCCAAATAGTTTCACACATTGTGTCAAATAAGTCACTTTTTTACAACTTTGGTCATACTGCCGCAGAGTGGCCACTAAGGAACACCCTTAGATTTTGTATAATAAATCACTATGCGACTGATTATGTAACCTAGACTCTGATAGTGGAAAATTATATTAAAGTTGATGAAAGAAAAATTCCTCCACAACTTTGCTAATTCTTTGGCAAATTTTCTAAACTGGGGCAAAACATTTTTTTTGAATAAAAACTGTATTTGAAAAGCGAACTATTCATGTAGTGACATATCAAGAGCAGTGTTGCCATCTTCACTATTTTCTACCGTTTCGGTAGGTTTTTCAACTTTTGTCTCATCCTCGCTTGAAACATTGCCCGTGAAGGTTAAGAAATGTTTACCAAAATCTATTTCATTATCAAATGGTTCTTCATTAGTTTTTTCACCATAACTTTGATTATCACCAGCATTTGGATATCCATCAAATGTTTTATATTCTCTTTGTTTTTTGCTATTCTCAACGAATTGTTTCAATTGCTGCGGCATTGGGAATGAGGATTTAATGTGGCAACGCTTCATCCAGTTACGTAGAGATTTGCGAGGCACTTTGTGTGTTTGGGCAGCTCTGGAATTAAAATTAAAATTAAAACATAACTTCTATTTAAATAATTCTAAGTATAGTGACTCCTTAGTGATTAACTCTGAGTACAAAAGACTGAGACTGAGACTTTTTTTTATTTTACTAATATTATTATGCGAATGTTTGTATAGATGGATGTTGGTTAAAAGATACACAATGGCTAAACGGATGTCGATGAAATTTGTGACAGATGTAGAACATAGTCTGGAAGAACACCTACACTACTAATTAAGTTTTTTCTTAATACTGTGCAGACGGAGTCACGGGCGATAGCAAGTGATGGATAAATGTATAACTTACCTATAAATACTTCCACCTTTCTTAACATCCATTAGAGCTGCCCACATAGCTTCATTGGAGTATCTTCTGTTAGGGTTGAATTTACCCATCATGACTCTTTCTAAATCCTTACGAGACAATCCAGATGAGCTAACTTCTTTACCTTCCAAAAATTGATCCAAATCAGATTTTAACACAGTATCACCAATATCCATGTTTTTATCTTTGAAAATTGGTGGTCGACCACGTCTACGTATCTGCGGTTTCTCCCCAGATTTCGGGTAATCTTTATTAACGGTTTTCGGTTTTGGAATAAGTTCCACTTCGGATTTTTGATTTTTTATATCTGTTTTGGTTTTTTTTATTTGATTCGCTTTTAAAAGTGATACTTCGAGTTCACCGTTTTGTTCTAACCAAGATTTGTAGTAATCATTTTCGGCGTTTTTTTGTACATACGCATCTTCGGACGCCATATTTGTTTCAAGGCCATATTTAGAAAATTCATTTTGCATTTCAGTCGCGTTCATTTTAGAAAGTCTACTTATGTAGTCCGATTTAGTTTTTGTTAAGTTTTGTAATTTTGTACGAAACAATAATTCACTTTCAGGCTTCACTCGTATATATTGGCTTCCTGAAATGAGGAAAAAAATTGAAAAAAAAAATGGTCAAAAAAAAATGAACCATGAATGTCTATTATAAAAAATGACAAATGACATGTCTGTAAGATAGAAAATAAAATAAAAAATAACGACCAAACCATTTTGCAATAATAAAAACATTCATGGTTCAATTTCTACTAAAAAAAAAAAAATTCTACCAATTTGGTAATATTTAAAAATGGCCTACCTTACAGACATTCATTGTTCATATTTTTACAATGTCCATTCACAATATGATCTTCGTTTTATATTCGGTTACACACGCACAAAAAAAATCGATTTTTTCCCCGATTACAACACGAAAACGAATAAAAAACTCTACTAATTCAGTCGAGTCATAACAAAAAAGTAACTAATAAAAGCAAGTGACAAAATAGAAGTCACATTGCAAACAAACATTGAAAATATTTTTGAAAAAAAAAAACTCGAAAAAAAAATCCGTCTTACCTGACGTTTGCCCCAAACTGCTGCCTGCTTTTCCGGGTTCTTCTTCCTGAAAGGCAACATTTTTATGATTAAAAAAAGTGTCTTGACTAGACAGACGGACGGACAACAAAGTGATCCTATAAGGATTCCGTTTTTTTTCTTTCGAGATACGGAACCCTAAAAAAAAACAATATTGTACGTAATTTTTTTAATGTTGATTATTTTTTATATTGGACATGAAAAAAAGTAATTTTTGTTTCAGATAAAATATCTTTTAACACTAAACAGATTTGGACGATTTTTAAATACCTACGGACGATGTCGCGAGTTAAACTATGTATATATATTTCTTTAACGAAAATTTTAGCTTGTATATTTGATTATTCAACGTTTTAACTTTGCTAATGAAAAACACAATGGTAATAAAAAAAGGGTTTGACCGACAGACGCTCAATAAGCGATCCTATAAGGATTTCGTTTTTTTCCTTTCGAGCTACGGAACACTAAAAAGTGAAACTAACCTCGTTAAATTCCATATTCTCGTTGTCCAGTTCGCCATAATAAAGTCCGTCTTCTTCCACCGTCTCCTCCTTCACCTCGGGATTCCTCTCCCTGTCTTCTGACTTCCTTTTCTTAGTGCCGTTTGTTGTCACATTCACGTTGGCCGGCTTCGGGTGCTGGTTTGTTGGACCTGGGGAAACGGTAGTTTATAAAATGACTAGATTACACAAAGTCAAATGAGGCAAATTGTTTGAAAGGTCAATATTTTCTGAATTAAATATTGAAATGCCTAAACTTGGTCTTTAAATTGATTAATTTTAGTACTTTATTGTACTTGTTCTTCTCGGGTGGTTAACCTTAAATATACGCGTTATAACCTCCTGCTTCTAAGTCCCCCTTTATCCTATACTAGCTGTCACCCGAGACTCTGTCCGCGCGGCATTAAAAAAACTATTGGTCGCAGCGTAATGTTATATAGATTAAAGCCTTCCTCTATAAATGGATCCAACAAAAAAAAGAATTTTTCAAATCGGAATAGTAATTCCTGTGATTAGCACGTTTAAACAAACTCTTTCGCTTTATAATATTAGTATACAAGGTGTTTACCATTAGTGGTAGTTTCTCTATGGGCGTTGGCGACGAGCGCCTCGCTCGCTACCGTGAAGTCTTTGCTCTCTGTGCCGGAGCTCGTCTCTGACGTCAAGCCGCTTGTGTCACTCGAACACAATCCTGCAATGTTACCATACTAATTTTTATAATAAATTATACATTTTAATAATTTTCATGAGAATCGGTCAAGCTGTATCGGTAGAGTATGGGAACGAAAATTGTGACACGAGAATTTTATATATAAGATTAGTTAGAATTCTTTGGCGCGAATGACGCGCTTTCGTTACAAAGTTAAGTGTCAGAATGATTAGTGAGGGGACATAAACGTCGACATTTTAGTAAGGCTAGTGTTGCGCCAGTACACCGGCACAGTGTCGGATTTTTTCCTAACAGTAAATATCTTTATCTTAGTACTTAGATATGTTTAGTTTCCCCTTTATCTGGACCAAGTTAACAGGAGCCAATTTTCATGGATCTCCAATACATCTATAGAAGAAGCTTACGTCCACGTCCAGGTCTAGTGGATGACTGTTACTATTTACTTACTAGAACTATAGTGTTTTCAACTGACCTCTGATCTGCAGCGCTTCTGCAGACTTGAGCAAGCTGGGCAGTTCCTCTTGTGTGACGTTCACCTCACCTTTGTACATGAAGTCTACCAGAGCTTGCATCTCACTGAACCTGTTACATACAACATACATCATGGGCGTTGGCGGACGATAATCTAAGCTAGAACTAGAGTTGGGCAGCTAAAAATAATATGGTCTTATTCGCAGCTTTCCGTTCTAACTCCCCACCTTGGCGACGCCCATGTATAATCCTTTTATCGATTCGAGAGTTATGACGTCACATGTCGCGGGTTCCATACTCCTTTTCACGGGAGTAAAAAATTATTTAATCTGTGTATAAATTTTATCTTTTATTAGACAGAGATAGCAATAGTTCTATGCCCTTTTAACAAAATGGTACATGCAGGTGGAGTAAACCTAAAGCCAACAAACCAGACCTAGAAAATCAACTGGTATTGTAAACAATTTTAAAAGTAGACGGGATGTTAGCTTGTTGTATGAACAACATCCTCTCTTCTATTAGTGCAGGTTGATTTAGGCCTTGTATTAAAAATAAACGCAAAACTCCACTTTTAAACTAAAACGGTAGACGTTTTTTTATGGAGCCAGTAGAAGTAAGACACTTGACTATAATAACCAGTGGTGCTAGCACGAATATTTGTGACAAGTGCCTTTGTATTGTCATCGTGATTTATGTCATAACTAGCTGCCAGCCGCGACTCCGTCCCAGGAATTAAGAATAAACTTAATATAATATAGCCTATGCGTTCTTCCAGACTATGTTCTATATCTATGACGAATTTCAGCGAAATCTATGCAGCGGTTCTGGAGATACTTTTAAACAAACATCCATTTCTCCATCTAAACATTCGCATTTATAATATTAGTAAGATTAGTGTAAGATTTTTGGTAAACACAACGCTGCACAAATTTTAATATAAATTTTGTCGATAACGATACGATGGTATTTTTGACAACATTAGTGCTAGATGCAAAGTATGTTTCTCTCACCTCATATCCCGCATGAGAACAATGGGGTGCTTGCATGGGTTCTGCAGCAGGAGGCGCTCGAGGTAAGCGCTGCAGGCGGACAGCACTAGCTTGTGACAGCGCAGCTGACGCGACTCGCATGCCAGCGTCACATCAGCGAACTGCTCCGTCAGCAACAATCGGGGGAATACCGACTGAACAACACAAGTTCATAATTTATCTTCTAATGACGTCATACAAGAAATAAATCAAGCCAATTTTCTAATGAATAAAAGTTGCTTATAATCACTAATATAATTTCTAAAGTTATTGATTACTTATAGCAAATAATTTGACACCCATATAATACACTGTCTTAGTGTTAAGTTTGTTTTTTTTTACTTTAATTAAATTGTATTTTCCTTCCATAACATTACGTTTACTAGTGGCACGTTAATGTTACTAGATATAAAGCCATACAAGTTGTTTAGACTCTTATTTTAGTATTCATATATACTAGTACAAGCACTAATATTAGTAAACTCACCTGTAAATTGGTATGATAGGAGTTCCATCGCACACAAAATTGTTGCGGTGGCAACGCCATCTTGCCGGCCAGTCAGTCAACCACAGATTATATTAAAATTTATAAAAACATAATACTTAAGATATCTTTGGCCGATTATATTTCAGTCCTTATTATAAATTGCACTGATATTTTTATAAAAATTGCACAAGTTCATTTAGAACAAAACCACATTGTTCCGCCACTTATTATCACAGTTTTATTAAGTAGAAAATATTAAGTACAAGCAATACTTGTTTGGTTATATAAGAAACTTTTAGACTAGACTGTATATAATTTATATGTAAAATACTGGAACTCGATTATGTTTAATACCTGAAACAAAAAAATAAGTATTATAAGAAAAACGTCGATGGTTCAGGGATTAATTATTTGACTTGTAATCTGCAGATTCTGGGTTCGAATACCGCGATGTACCAATGTATAGATACATTTGTCAGACCTTCTTACGGTCAAGGAAAACATCGTGATGCAACCTGCACATATCTGCGAAGAGTTTAAAGATGTGTGAAGTCAACCCGCACGGGGCCAGCGTGATGACTATGGCCTAATCACCTCTTACTAAGAATAAGGTCCGAGCTGAGGGACGTATAGTGAGCTTAAAATGAAGAAAAATGAAGCATTATTTACGCCTTTATATACCCTGTTTTTATATAGCCGACAAAATGTAAAACCGAGATCTTTATTGTAAATTTTTCAAAAACGACCCATTTTTTATGTAAATGTTTCGGCAGTGTAAACTCGCTACAATACAAGATGAAATGTTTTCTTTTATGACGAAATATTCATGTAGGTGGTGCTAAGAAGTCGGTCAAGTGACTATTCCAGTGCTTATTATTATAACTACTGTCATTCATTTCTTTCGCCAACACAAATGCGAAAAAAGTAAATTGACGATTTTTTTCTCTGTAAACCTGATTTACCGTATCATTAAATGTGGTTCAGTTATTGCATAGAACATACATACGAAAAATGTCGAAGGCTTCAGTAGAAAGGGACAACTTATATCATGTGGAAGGGAGACAAAGAAAACTGTATACGAGTAACTTTGTACGGACGGAGACAATATGAACATAAAAAATCAATACCAAACCGAAAGGGGCTCGGAAGACCCTAAAAATGGGGTCTACATTTTACAATGCTATTATTGACACGAGTTCGTTTATTTTTCATATTGAATTATGATGTAAACAAAGTCCGCTTTTAGTTGATAGATTAAATATGACTGATAAATAAAAAAGCGCTAATGCACATACTCCTATGACATTCCGCTGACTTTGGTGTTGCAGATGTCCACGGGAGTCGCTGAACACCTCGGTGATCCCTTTGTTCGTCTGCCCCCTACTCTTATAAAAAAAATCGAGAATGAATCCGAATTCTATGACATCTCACTTGTCAAAATATTTAGAACAATCTAGGTAATAGACTCTAGGAATAGATAAATATGCATTTGCGTTTCAGTCTGACAAGAGAATACAATTTCTGTAGATCGTAGCACCTTTTTTCATACTATAGTAAAAGCGGTCAAGAATTGCCACCGTGACTATCCGCGCGGTATTAAAAAAAATAATTAGTAGCCTATGTGTTTTTCCAGATTATGTTCTCAAATTTCAGCTAGATCCACACAGCCGTTCTGGAGATAATTTCTAACAAACATCCATCCATCCAAACAGTCGCATTTATAATATTAGAAAGAATTAAGATTTATAACAACGTATCTACATCAAAAATTACAGAAAAATATTCAGAAAAATGTTATACAAACTGTATTCGGGCAACGAACTCTTATTTAAATGAATTAAATTCGAAGAGTTTGATTAAGGCGATGAACTTGTTATACGGTAAAGTCATTTTAATTTGAGGGTAAAAATTGAAAACAATGTTACACTTTAGTCCCACAGACGAGACTTAATTAGAGAGAAATACATACTTACTCTACTAATATATATAACTTTTCCACCAAACTTCGTCCGCGCGAATAAAAAAAATATATAGTCTATGTTATTCAGCGATAAAGTACCTTTCTAACGGCAAAAGAATTTTTAATATCGATCCAATAGTTTACGAGTTTATTCGTTACATACAAATATACAATTCCTTCTTCTTTAATATACTAACATAGAAGTGTAGATGATTTAAAATCATTTATTCCCAACACGAAACCATCAAGTCTGCGCATCGGCGGGGCAGACAGAAAAACAACGAGTGCTTTACAATCCCCCATTTAGTCCGAGCTGTGTAGGGTGCCCCCGTATCTGTTCACAGATAAGTAAAAAAGAGTCCCGACAACGGTGGGGTCCGGAGTGCGTCGACCCTAGGGGCGCGCCCGAAATAGCCCGCGCGGGGGTCCCAGCCCACGGCCCACTCCTCGCGGTTATATTTGGCCCGAGCGATTGGTGCTTATGTATATTTCTTGGAAATATTTGAGAGCATTGAATTTACGCAAAATGTTTTTGGGAAGGAATTAAAAGTTTATGATCGATTCATGTTTTGGACACTAAAAAAATACCAATCCAAAGTACCTAGATGCAGATTGCTTACAGTATAAATAAATTGATGTGAAAGTTAGATAAAATACAGGAGAATGACTGGATTGTACCAAATATCTAAGAATTGCTTGGACGGAATGATATGAAGATGCTTGCAAAAAAAATCACAGATAAAATATAATATAGTCTTCGCACTTTATCTAGTAAAAAAATAAATCTGTAGGCGACTAGAATTTATGCAACTAAATATTCAAGTATTTTTTCCGTATTTTTTGTCACTGACCTCGGCAGTAGGCCTCGATTGCGAAGACATCAGTTAAACTCATTATCAAATGGTCAATAAAAAATATAGATTGGTCAAGCATGTCTTAGTAATTTTATTTCGAGGTAGACGTGACTGAAAATGGTATAAACACTTTCAGATATATTGACGGCTCTTAACTTCGCGCGGGTTGCTGCGCACAACACAATTTTAGGTCACATAGCGGGATACGGAGGGAGGACACTACGCAGTTAGTATGACCTCGGGATGCTAAGATGGTTGAAAAGATTTATACATAGTAGGCTAGAGACAAGACTTGTGACTACCGTTATTATACTTAATTTGAAAAAGGGCAAATGAGATATTCTTACTTGCGAACGTCGGTAAATACACTAGGGAACACACTTTTTGACGCTAACCAAGACCTCTGTATGACATATCGTCATCCCTGTCATTGTCTTTGACAAAACGGACAATGTTTTAAACGGAAATTTTGGTTTCAGAATTAAGTGCAGCAATTAGTGTAGTTTTAATAAAAGCAATTTCCAGTCTAGCTGCATTTTTATAAGTGACATTTTCTTTGCAATAAAGATGAAATGGGCGCGGTCATAGTTCCGATTATCCCAAGTGACGATCGATCACTGATAAGAATATATATCTTCAGTATATTATTGATATGGTCAATTTTAACCAGATAAAATCATCAATGATAGACAGTAGTCTATACAAAGTTACTGGACGACAAGAAAATATCGATTTCATGAAAATTTAACAACTTAAAGAAAAAAAAACTGCTGGTACATTCGGTTGTAAAGCCAGACAGCAAATATTCAAACTGTGAATGTCAGTGACCCGTGAACATATAAATCTTATCGCCGTGCTATATCGGAAATAGGACAAAAACAGGTGTGTCTGCGTTTTCGGGATTAATATAAAAAATAACTTGAAAAACAAAGTTTTGATTTGGAACTTTAATCGCTTCAAGTTTGAACATGTGAGAATAATGACAAAAGCCATAGACCAACAAAATTACGAGATTATTTTTGCTTGACTATAAGACAATATTTAAAACGAACTTAACGCCCAGCATTTTTCACGTGGGGAACAAGCGTACTCTTCAGCGCTACGTGCCAACTCAAGCTAACTCTGATTTCGATTATCTTGTAGTCTAATTCAACTTCATTAAAGCATCTTTAATAACATTGCTCTTGTTCACGTATTTTGTATGACGCAATACAAGTCGTCATTTCCGACGGCGCTACGTTAACTAACAATTGTTAAACAATAACGAACGCTCTAAGCGAAATGATATCATTGTGCGTAAATCACACACACATAATGTAATCGACTTATGTATTATGAAATATAACATAAACAAGCTTGTTGCAGATAGAGCTCTACTCATCTATGTCTATCTTAAATTAGTGATGATTAGGTCAGTACCTTGGTTAGAGTAGAGCACTGCTGGGGCATCGCTCAAAGTGCTACAGGTCTGCGAATTCAAGTCTCACATAACCCTGTTAACTAAAGGTATTGTAAAAAAGAGCCCTGCAGAAATCTTGCCCAGGGGGCTAATAGAGCTAAAATCGTTACTGGATTAGACTTTAGTTACGCTAGCTAAATGCCCGTTGACTTTAACACATCTTTGGAATTCTTTCATATTTTTAGTGGTACCTAAAATTTCAATACATTGGGCTTTGACTCATCTAATAATACACATTTGTAGGAAACGTTGGTTTAGTGTCGGAAGATCTGTACAAAAAGTTCGTTATCCCTATTTTTTTCGAAGAGAGTGAAAGAGACTGCAATTTTTTGTACAAGTGTTTCGTCAATGAAAACCCGCGGTCCTCATACATTAACATAAACAATTTATTAACAGTGTCCGCAAGTGTAAGTATTGTGTAGCATCACAGAAGGAAGGCGGACAACAATAAAAGCGATTTGTTAGTGGAGTTCGTATTATCATAATAATAAACGTAGCAATGTAAGAGATGTATTTAAAAACGGCCCAAACGTGAACATGCCCTTAAAAATTAGGGCTCATTCAGACAAAAACACGATTTAGCGATAGAGTTATTTTATATAGAACATAGTCTCAAATTTAAAACAGCATTTGACTGTTGATATGAGCCGGGGTAATTCGGCTTTGAGAAATAAATGTGGTGCGTACACTTTCAGACTGTACGATACACCTTTCTATTGGTAGACGAAATAGGAACAAATCAGAACAGACACATTAGTAGATACCGATTGTCGGCCAAACATATCCTAACCTTTCCAATGCCGGACCACCTGTACAATGACGTCTCTGATTTTGTCATAGACAATGAGAGGGATCGTATAGGAAGGGGAATTATCCTTTTTCTGTGTGTCCGTTGACTAAAGGTAGGCAACGTATCTGCAACTATAGATGTCTATGAGCAGCGGTCGCTTCGCTGTTTCGGCGAAGCCAGGTGAGCGTTTACTCGTTATCAATCTTGTAGAATAGTTAAAAAATCGATCGATTTACCCAAAATATTCTTCTAAAACTCTTTTAAAACGTAGTGTTTTAGTATAAGTAGGTCTGTAACTTTTGACTCTACATAACAATAAATTGCTATTCAGTAAAAATCACGACACAAATAAGGTACATTTCCGCGACCGCATTTGCGGCCTATACCTCTTTGGATATGGCTTCGGAGAAAATTATTTATGCTAGGCTAGACGATTGCGTCGAACGCCGAATCACAGATAATATACACATAAATGTAAACTAAAAACATTATTAGAACACATATCTAGAATACATTATCAAGTAATTGAGTCTTCCACTCCACTTGTAGGTCGAGCTCTGATGTCATTTCAAAAATGATTACATTACACAACCACATGAAGTCCGCAACTTGAAAACTACACAATGTAAGGCCCCATGAGCGCAAAGTAATATCTTATCACGATTTTTATGTTCCACGGAGCCGCAAACATTAGGTACGGCCGTTTGACCGATAAAAGACGTAATACGAAAAACAAAACCACGACATAATGCAATTATTGTAATAAACTCACCAGTAGCTAAGTTTTCTTTTGCTATGTCGTAAAAAATAAACACAGCGACAGGAAGCATAACATGTATAACACAATTTCCTTGCCGTTAGTTTTATGATGGTCTGACGCTCGTGATCGCTACACGGGAGCAATATGATGGTTAAAACATGAGCACAAAGCCAACATTTGGCCGATCCCAAAATAGTATATCGCAGGCCCCAACTAATGTTATAAACATTCGTGCAGCAACGACCTGACTCACATATGCGAGCCTCAAATAACAAAATCAATATTTAAATAATTACACCGAACTATGTTTAGACGATATAAAAAAATCGAGGCGAAACGCAATCGTCGCAAGTGAACGAAATGGTCGATTATCATGAGCTGAAAAATGTGACTTTTCACGATCGCAACCTCTAACATGGAAAAACTATTAAAATAGACATAACAATACTCACATAAGAGCCGCCGCGCGACACTACATCACGTATGCAATTAGCGGCGTCTGATGTTTTTTTAACGATGAAAAATCAATAATTTTTAAGAGCACAAATTGTTCATATTTTTCCGTCGGGTCCCAGCTTTCCTCCCTCGGTCTCAGTCGCGCCGACACTCAAAAATGAAAAACCAATTGGAAGAAAACTGTGGAACCGAAAGAGATGCATATACTTCGCCGATGTAAATAATGACAGGGGAATCATAACAAACGAGCGAGACAGCGGATAGCCTCGGGAGCGATTAACAAAAACAAAAAATGTTACGTAATGTTGGAAAGAATTCACATTAAGGTAATTTACCTACCTCATTACACATTATTTGTTGTTTTAGAGTCGCCACTTTAAAAACCTTTGAACTTATTAAGATATCGCGTATACATTTTGACGGCAAACTATCATCCGTCACGCGACCGCCATTTGCAATTATAAGACCAAAGACAAGCTGACACAGAGTAAAACAGGAGAAAAGTATAGTGAAGAATCAAAACTATCCTAAGAGCATAGGAGGTTATTACTTTACTAATAAAATCAATACATGATTAGCGAATACAAATCAAGCTATTTTTATTCATTTAATTATCTTACTCGCTCTACCATATTATGAGAATTTCTTAATTGTCTTAAAAGCTTACAAGAAACATTTTCCTAAAATTGGATTATGATTCTTACTTTTCTTTTTTCTATAGTGTTTACAAAATGGGTTATAGGAGAACCTAACGTATAACGCTCATGGAAAAGTAACTTAAATAGGTTGTAAAAGGAATAAAAACAAAAAAAATCATTTCAATTTTTTTATTATTTTGACAACATATATTGATTACATAGAGTTTTTTTTTTTTTTTTTTTTTTTCTCTTTATTTTTTTAGGGACTTTTGTTCTTTTGAACATGTCAGTCCCATAATGAACAAACACATAATCAATCAACTTAGGAGCTAATTACAAAAATACAGTAAATATACAAGCAAGCGATATAAAATTAAAAAAAAATCAATGATAATAACAATAACAATATATACCAAAAAAAAAATATTTACACTTAATTAATATCTATAAAGCCTTTAGCACCATATTTCGGACGTCGTCTGCTAAATCCGACAATGGTTGGGCCAAAGCAAACAGAAGTTCGCCAACATTGAATTACATAGAGTTAAAAATAAAACAAAAATAATTTGAATAAATTTTTATTACTCATGACATTTTTTACTTTATTAATGGGTTGTATTGCGTTACGCCTTTTTTGACTCAAATGCAGAAATGATGACCTGAAAAAAGAAAATTATTGTTTAAATTAAAAAAAAAAACTAATAATACCTCACCTTCCGCTAAACGAACTCAATTAAGAGAATCAAAAACCCACAACCACAAAAATAGCCACAAAATTAGCTATATCTCTAGATTAGACGTCAGCCTTGTCACTTCATCAGGTTGTAAATTTATGAATAAAAAAATAATACTGCTGTTACTTTATCACAATGTGAGTAGGTCGGGCGCGGCGCGGGAAAGTAGGGTAGCGGCGCTGGCTACGGCGGTGCACCAGGCGTCCAGCCGCTGCGCCAGAGCCGCCGCTCCTGCACGGTTCAGCGCACGCGGCCGTACCCAACGAACACTGACGCACTCGCTCACCTAGCAACAAAAAAATATTCCTAATTAGCTAAGGTCTATGGTACCTTGTAAAATAAATATATTAATAATCATTTCTGACTTAACCTTATTTATTAAGAATTATTGCAAAGTTTACTAATATAATAAATGTTTGTTAGAAGTTATCTTTAGAATGGCTGCATGGATGGCTGAAATTTGGCATAGATTTAGATCATAGCCTTGAAGTACACATAAGCTAATATATTTTTTATTCCGAGAGAACGGAGTCGCGGGCGACAGCTAGTGATAAGGTATTGTAGGTATTTATCATTGTTTACTGACTTGGTCGATGTGACCCCGTATAAGTTTCTCGGCGAGTGCCTTCATGACGAGAAGTTCGACCTCGTCTCTGGGCACGCGAGCCTCGCGCGCTATCTCCGCGAACGTCAGCTTGCGCTGAGCTGATGTACGGTTGAATGCCATCTAGTGGAGAATTAACAAATTATTATTTAACAATTAAAATTATAATTTATTTAATGTTACTTCCTATACAAATCATAAAAATTGTTGAAGACTTAAGTGTTTAATTTCTCTTTAATTCATAAGGTCAATTATAAAAGTTACATAGAGAGCAAAATGTTCAAATTCAATAAAATTTTCTTACATTTCATTGTATTACAAATAAAACTTTAATAAGTATGATTACTTAAAATCAGTTTTAAAATTACAAAAACAAGTTACCTCCATTAAACAGAGGATAGCAATCTTCTGTCTCAACTGACGATCTGCTTTATGTAGTTCGGGATGAGGAGCCTGGGCACTAAGAAAAAATAATATTTTTTAATTTACAGCAATACAGCCAGCAAAAACTAAAAAAATGTTAATTTATTTAATCATGCAACATTATTTTTTTGTGGTACACATCTTTATATATATAATTCTTCTGTGAGTGTGTATGTCACTGAACTTCTCTCAAACGACTGGACCGATTTTGATGAAATTTTTTGTGTGTGTTCAAGGGGATCTGGGAATGGTTTAGATCCACAATTATCATCAAATATTAACTTCATATTAATTTATTCAAATTAAAGACGTGTAGACAGGACAACGTCTGTCGGGTCCGCTAGTATATATATATATATATATATAATTTATTTAAAGTGAACAAGTGGCAGTGAAAGTGTTAAACAAGGATTACACAAATAATTACAAAATAATGGTATTTTTTTCTATCAATTTATGCATTACCTATATAAATTAATTACCTTATAATAATATGTTTCTTTCCTAAGTTGGATATGTAGATAAGTATATTACCGTATTTTTTCAAATGCGACAATATCGCCGGCCGCCACCGCTTTAACAAGTTCACATGCCCACGCGTCCGGAGTGCCTTCCAGTGATTCCAGGATAGGATGAGCCAACTGTTGATTGTAAGATTTTAATTTAAGATTAAAATAAACATAAAAATTGTTGTTTTTTTTGCAGAGAAATTGAATGATACATTTTATTGTGTTTTGGAAAAGGAAACCCATTCCTGGTATATTTCTATGACTTCTATATCAATCAACATCTATGCTTGTCACTCTTATTACAACATACTCTCCCCCGTAACGCAGAGGGGTAGACAGAGACCACAGACCTTCATTCTCTTTATTGACTCTTTATAGTATTCACTTTTGCAACATCTTTTTTTCATAACGGCAACAGCACAGATATTAAAAATCTGTCTTCTAGTACTTAATAAAGTATCTATATAAAAAATTCAAGCTATCACTCACCAGTTCTCCCAAATCATACACAGTGGGTGCGATAACTCCCGCCAGAGCGAGTCGCAACGCACAAGCTCGACGCTCCGGCAGCGCGAGGTCCTCTCCTCCCCGGGCGCAGCCGACGTACCGCAACGCTGCACGGTAGTAACGCGCCATTGGACCACGTACTCTAGAAGTTTACAGTATTCAAAAATTATAATGTCATATAGTATACAAACAGAACAAGAAAACAATTCAAATACTGTCTATAAATAGACAATAGACAAGCAACAGCTGATATAAAAGAATATTATGTTACATGATTCTAAAAAGAAAAGGGATATTAAGAACTATGGTTTAAAGAGTTAATTACAAAGTTCAAATTATAAAATGTCAAAATGTAACAAAAGAACATAAGTAATTCATATTAGTGTTTTCTAAAATCTTAGCATTTTGGCATTTGGGGAAATGGTCTCTCCCCACATCCAGCTGTGTCACCACACACCTAAAAATGCATTCTGTGCAGGGATTCAAGCTGCGCAGGATGCATTTTTAGTTATGCGCAAGTTAAGAGCTGCCAAGATAACTAGCTGAAAGGCAGACCCCTTTACTAAAACTGGTTGAATAGATACCTGTAGTATTCCGAAGCAAGTTTATAGAATCTGCCATGGACTGGTGTTACACCATCAGCATCTTCCAAAGTGCCTTCCAATTGTTCAATGATTTTCTCTGTTGCATCTAAATCATTCAGCTGTTCCAGATATATCTGACCTTGGAGAACCTACAATAAGAATGAGACATATTAAAAAATAAGCACTAAAATAAGGTCTTTGACGAGTTAGACTGTTTTTTTTTCTAATATTCAAATAGAATATGGATAAAACATACAATGGCTTGTGGTTCAGCTGCTAGCACACCCTGACGCAGTAGGAATCAGTTTAAGTCTTTACTTATACTGCCTTATATTGCCTTTGCAAGTCCAAACAGTATCTGTCCCACCATATACCAAATTATATTGCACAAAATCTTGTGTGAAATTTCAAATAGCCAAGGTAAGATTTAACTCAAAATACATAAGATGACCTGATATTTACATTAAATTAATTACCTTGCAAAGAGTCAAAGCCTCATCATTCATTTTAACCTTAGCCTCAATCTTCTCCAGGAAAGCGATGGCTTCCTTTTTATCCTCATACTGTTCAACCACATGAGCTACTATTTCTACCAAAGACAATGGATTGATTCTGAAATTAAATTAATATTGTGGTTTCATTGTTCGGAAAAGAAAAGATTTTGCATGCTATTATCCTGGTTCAATGTCTGAAAATTTCTAAAATATATTACAAAAGCTCCTTTGTAAACATTAATAAAGGTTTTGTTTTAAACTCTAAGGGAAGAATAAATACCAGAGTTTTTCAGTACTTAAGTTATTTAAGAACTTTAGTTTGGCATCTTTTCTTACTATTTGAATTCACTATTGCTATAAATCTAGCCAATTTATTGTATTGTAAGTTTGAGGTTATATTGGATATCAAACAATTAGGTTATTCTTAAGAAAGAATATAAAAATTTAAGCTTTACTTGTACGGTTTAATTAAAATCTTTAATTCAAAATTAGCAAATAACAGAGAACTCTACAGAAGAATATAAGGAAACAGTGACTTGCAATTTCTACTTACTTATTTTCAAATATAGTTATAAAGTTGTTGTATAGCTGTATTAAATGGTCTCCTGTCCTTAGAGATGTATAATTTACAAATTCCTGCAGTTTTAAAGTTACTTGATGCCATAATCTGAAAAAAGACAAAAGCAAAACACCATGTAGATATTAAAACATAAATGAATGATATTTGTAACGCATGTGGGTAATAAATACTTTTTAGTATAAAGTTCTTCCAGTTTTGCCCAATCTGCCGCTAGTTCAGGATCTGAAGCTTGTTTTTTTGATAAATAATCGTTAACTTCAACAACAGCAAATCTCGTAGAAGCCATGTTTCAAATTTTGTATTGTGTATGTAATGATCTGAAGTTAGCTGCAAGCTTTGACGTATAACCATAGATTTTTAATTTACTTTAAGCATTTTGTTTTTCTGCCACAC